CCCCCCCCCCCCAGTTACAAAGGTAAAACAATTGCCATGAGTAAATATAAAACAAAGCAAAGACAGTGAAGTTACACCTAATTCTACTTGCTCTTGAGACAATCACTGTTAATAATTTATATGTAGCAACCGACAGTTAAAAACTATTTAAGAATCTGGGGTGCTGACTAGTCCCTTCCAACATTCTAGCAGTCTGTGACTTCAGGGGAAGAGCAGGCAAAAATGTGTAGGAACAGTGTCTCTCTGTGGTTGAATATGGTACTGCACCATACTGTCTCCTAAACACCAATACATTGTCAAAACTATCTCTGAAGGGAAGTGGAGGGGTCATGCTCTATTAGACATTTTCTCTCCATGCTACAAAATAATTAGAAAATTGTTAACCCTGTCCACATAAAAATTTAATATTTTCATTTTTATTAAAGAAAAATATAAAGATCAACGGTGTCAATAATAGCTGCAGACCACTTCTCATCTGGGTGATCAGAAAGTGGTACTGCTGAAGGAGCCTTCAACACGAGGCTGATCCCTGCCTGGTGTGCTGGCAAAGGCTTACCAACCAGTTGTCGGCGGGGGTGGGGCTAATTTGTAGCATTTGCCCATTTCTGTGCCATAAATACTTTCATCATAGCTGATTTCAATCTACCAACATGAAGTCATGGAAGTGCAGAGTTAGGGAGACGTGCGTGGTGGCAAACTGTTATGTAGTATTTCCACCACACAGATACAGTAGACATAAAGAACCAAGAACTTAGATATAGTAGTGTATAGTGAAATTATCAGGAAGGGACTAAGTTTATCTTGTTAAAGTGAGCTTTTAATTTTGGAATAATTATTTATATAGTTATTATTAGACTTACAAAGAAGCTGCAAAGGTAGTAGGGAGAGTTCTTATATGCCTTCATTCTATTTCTCTTAATGTTACCATCTTTTATAGTCAGGTACATTTGTCAAAACTAAGAAATTAATTTTGGCAAATTAATTTGGCAAATTAATGACGTGTTACTATTAACTAAGCCATGAACGGTTCGAATTTCACCAGTTTTTGCCCTCGTGTCCTGTTTCTGCTCCAGGATCCAATCTAGCGTACCACATTGCATTCAGATTGCCTTTGTTTTTAACATAACTTATTTAATTTTAAGTTTATACAATTTAATTTTAACAATGACTGTTTCAAAACTGGCTCAAAAAATTCTAGAAAACTAAGCCATCAGCTTTTGGGAACAGGTACGAGCTCGCTCCAGTACATCTCTGCACTGATTTTTCTAAGTCAAAAAGGAGAGAATATGAGTAATTCCCGATGGCTCAAACTATAGATAATCAGCATCTCAGGGGGTGAATCCAGTGTTTTGAAAAGACCCAGGGGAGATGGTTCTTAAGTTCATCCAGGGGTCAGAACCTCTGCAGAGATGAGGACATGAGGCCCAGCACAGTTAAATGACTTGCCCACGTGACCACACGGCAGGGCAGTATCGGCACCCAGTTCCAAACCCTGGTCTCCAGATTCCCTTCCTCATACCACACTGCGTCAAGGGGGTGGAATTTGTAAGGGTGAAACTGTCTGTGTCGAAACCTAGAGATTCTGATTTCTCTTAATCAGGGGAAATGATATTACTCTAATGGCTCAGCCGCCCTGAGGCTACAGATCACCGGAGAAAAAATTCAGGCTAAGAATTCATTGTGGTAGCTTTGTGAGTAGACTAAAAACCACTGAATTGTATACTTTGAAAGGGTGAATTTTACGGTATGTGAATAATATCCTAATCTTTAAAAAATTCCTCATGAGAGACAATCTACAAAATACCTGACCATTACTCCTGAAAACTGTCAAGGTCATAAAGAACAAAGAAAGCATAAGAAATTGTTCCCAGCAAGAGCGTATGGAGACAGGACTACAAAATGTAATGTGGCTTCCTGAGTGCATCCTGGGACAGAAAGAGGACATTGGAGAAAAACTGAGAAAATGTGAATAAAGATGAATTTAATGAATGATATTCCATGAATATTGGTTCATGAATTGTGTCCAAAGTACCATTATAATGTAAAATATCAATAATGGGGAAACTGGGTATAGGGTATATAATTCTGTAAGTCTAAAACTGTTCTGAAAGCAAAACTTCACCAAGAAAAAAATAAAGAATTCACATAGGGGAAAACAATACAGGGCAAGCCACCAACCCTCTCAGGATGCCAGTTTTTATTTGTTTCTAAAATTTGGCATTGCTCCTTGGGATTTTTTGTTTTTGTTTTAAATGGAGTCTTGTAGCCCTAGCTGGAGTGCAATGGTGCAATCTTGGCTCACTTCAACCTCTGCCTCCCATGTTCAAGCGATTCTCCTGCCTCAGCCTCCTGAGTAGTTGGGAATACAGGTGCCTACCACCACACTTGACTAATTTTTTGTATTTTTAGTAGAGATGGGGTTTCACCATGTTGTTCAGGCTGGTCTCAAACTCCTGGCCTCAAGTAATCTGCCTGCCTTGGCCTCCCAAAGTGCTGGGATTACAAGAGTGAGCCACCGTGCCCAGCTGCTCCTATGGATTTTTTTTGTGAGATAATCTGTGGATGTTAATGAACGTAAGAGGTAGATATTAAAAAAACAAAAAGTTAAAGGCAACCTTTCTAGGTATCAAGAAAAGTTAAAGCTACTTTTTTTCCTTGAAAATAAAATGCATGGTATTTACTGAATCCATGTGGCTAAACCCCTGATGCTCTAAAACTTTGCTACCCAAGTTAAGTAGTTCTGAGCAAATCCTCAAATGCTCATCTTGCTGATACATCTGTCAGAATAAAGAACACTAATCACTCCAAAGCTGAGCATTCAAGCATCTGACCAGCACGGTGGGCAGCAGTAACAGTTGCTTTTGTGTTATTTCTCCAAGTTTTAGTTAAACAAATAAAAAAGCCTGTGTCCCCTTCCAGAGTTTGACATCTTTCCTACCTTTGAAGACATGATGTTCTTCACTTCTTCGTCTGCTGCGGAGTGTGTCCCCGCAAGGTCCGGGTTACTGCTGCTCATCACCCGGGCCTGCAGCAGCTTCGAACTCACGGCAGCAGCTGATGTGCGTCCATACGTGTGATAGCGGGGGTCGGGGACGGCAGTGGGAGCACCTGCACCCCACCAGGTATAGACATGTCAACAGACAGGGGAATAGAATTACTTACTGAGTTTAAGAAGGAACTGAAGAGGGTTAGGGTACATGAAAACCCACTGGATTAGGCTTTGGAATTAGGGTCTTCTTAGCAAATGCTGGTTGGGACAGGCAGGCAATCTTTTGGAGAGAAGTAGATGGGGCGTGAGGCACCAAGGAGTGGTGGGGATTATGGGAAACAGCTGACACATGCCTTATACAAAGGCAGGGGCTACTACTGGCTCCAGTCTATTACCTCCATGGGGAAATGGACCCCAGGGTTGCTAGAGCTTCTGATTTCTCATGAGAAGCTACAAATGTGGATATTTTTAATTTATCAATATTTAAATGACAACTTCACAATTCATGCAGTGAAGTTTCCTCAGATCCAAAAACCCAGAGTCCTCTGAACCTTGTGAGGATTACTGTCTATGATGCATACAGCTGTTTTTCGTCCTTGAGTGTTGACATGTTTTCAAAAGTGGTTATGGGAGTCTATGAGAAATTACTTTTTTTTTTTTTTTTAGACAGGGTCTCACTTTGCCCCCCAGGCTGAGTGCAGTGGCACAATCTCAGTTCATTGCAACCTCTGCCTCCCAGGTTCAAGTGATCCTCTTGCCTCAGCCTCCCAAGTAGCTGGGACTACAGGTATGTGCCACCACACTCTGCTCATTTTTACATATTTTTTTGTAGAGACAGGGTCTCTTTATGTTCCCTGGGCTGGTCTCCAACTTCTGGCTCCAAGTGATCCTCCCCTCTCAGCCTTCTCAAGTGCTAGGATAGCAGATGTGAGCCACTGCACCCAGCACAGCATATTTTATTCTGGATTCCACTGCAGTGGGGTGGAGGTGGCGATGCCCTGCCCGCCGGAGTCCCACACTCAGGGCAACTGTACCTGACTTGGGCATGTCCCTTTGTGGCTCCGGCAGGCGGAAGACGTAGTGCACATAGGAAGCCAGCAGGCAGTTCCTCCCGTGCTGGTCCTTGCTCAGGTCCTTGCTGTTGTGCAGACTGTTGGCGATGGCCACCACGGACTCGAAGGCAAACTGGGAGAAGTTGGCTGAGGAATCAAGAGAAAAATGGGTAGCCCCACAGCTGGTCCTTAAGGGACCTGAGGTGGAAGTTTCTCCAGGACGGTGACAATGAGTCCCGACTGCTGACCAACACAGCTAGGCCCGGGAAGGGTAAATGGTTTTGGTGAGCTCTGGCACGCTGGCTCTAGTACCACAGATGCCCCCACATTCCCTCCTTTGTCCTTCCTCCTCCTGCCACTGAGTAGCATCGATGGTTTTTAACGACAAAGACTAAGACCGTCCTGACGTCCTCCCTCTCTAAGCCATGTTGTAAACTGACGCTACTCGGTGGGAGCTGCAGACTGACATGACCGCTATCACCTGGTTGCTTACTTAGAAATGCAGACTCTCAGGCCCCACCCTAAGGGGCGTATTCATCAAGCTCTGCATCGTTACAAGATGCCCACGTGACTGCTGTGCACACTGTGTTTGAGATGTGCTGTGTAACCCTGATTCTTGTACAGATTAACCTAAAACCGTATGCATATCAAGTCATTCCCACAGTGGGCCCACACACATTTGATTTACTGCATAGACCCTCTCGTTCTGCTGCCCCAAGCCTCCGTAGTTTGGGTCCAGTCTACTTATTCAACCTTGTACCCTGTTTGGCTCAGATTCAACTTCCCTTAAAATGAGGCAGTCATTGTATTGTCTCATCATGTCTGCTCTCTTACATCTCAGACTTTGCTCATGCTGTTGTCCTCACCTAGAAAGCCCTCCTCATTCCCATCCACAAAGTCACACCAACCCTTGTGAATCTCAGGGCAGATCCCACATCCTCCATGAAGTCGTCTGACTCCACACAATACAAGGCTCAAGTGAAACTGAGTGACGTGATTCTCCAGCTGTTTCTGCTGGTAAACTGTCTCTCTGTGAAAGGTGGAATCCTTCCCATGCAAGGTGCATTTCTCATATTTTTTGTGCCCCACCATGCCTTCCACTGGATAGACACAGAATAGGTTGTGAATAAATGCTTGTAGACCAGCTGCCTCTACTCACTCTGCCTGTGCCAACACCCCGTGGTCCCCACACCACAAGGTGGCAACTTACAATGGAGAAACAGCTCAAAACATATAAATATTTTGTCCAGTGAACAAGTCTGTATTAAGTAGCTGAAACATACAAAGCAGTGTGCCACGTATGTGGGGGCACAGGAAGCAATCGAGGGAGGGCAGAGCTCTGCAAGAATCTAGTTGGAGAGGCAACTGCTACACGGATGAAAAGTTAGCCTCCAACGCAGGATGTCTGATCTGTGGAACCACAAAAGATGCATATCGGGGTGCAAAGCAGAGTGAGAGATAAGAGGACATGCTCGTCCCTGGCTCCAAAAGCTCCCTCACTTCATTGTTGCAGCCCACTTCCACACGGGCTCACCTTCTACCACCAACCGTGCTATTGACTTTCTTCCTGACATCCCCCACTTCTCTGCTGTGCCACTCTCATCTCCTTGCCCCTATCTGGCTGTTTCCACTCTAACCCTTCTTCAAGGCCCTCTCTTCACGTGGACCTTTGCATCCTCCCAGATGGATGTTTTCTCCCTCTCTCCTTTGATACCACCCTCCCGCCACCACTGTAAAATTTAGCTGTGTCCCTTTAGGACTTTTGTCCTGGGCTGCTGGCTCTTTGCCATATTATAAGTCCTCTGAGGTCTGAGGTGCTCTTATTGTCACAAAGCTTGTTAGTTTTAGTACAGTACTGGGCACATGGATGGTACCCAAAAGACGTCGGCTGGACCGGAGAGCAAAGAGCTATACAGGCACAGTGGAAAATGGTGGCAAATAAAGACGCTCTACACCAGCCAGTCTACCCTGGAGGAGTTAGGACAGCCACTGGACCCTGGTCTTGCCTCCAGTATAAGCTTTTGAGATTATTTCCAAGGGAAAATGTACACATTGTATTTAGTGTTACTTTATTAAAAGTAAGCTTTTTTTTGAGACAGAGTCTTGCTCTATCGCCTAGGCTGGAGTGCCGTGGCATGATCTCGGCTCACTGCAACCTCCACCTCCTGGGTTCAAGCGGCTCTACTGCCTCAGCCTCCCGAGTAGCTGGGACTACAGGTGTGCACCACCACACTCGACTAATATTTTGTATCTTTAGTAGAGACGGGGTTTCACTGTCTTAGCCAGGATGGTCTTGATCTCCTGATCTCGTGATCCACCCACCTGGGTTTCCCAAAGTGCTGGGATTACAGGTGTAAGCCACCGTGCCTGGCCAAAAGCAAGCATTTAAAATAGACTGTAAGAGAGAGAATGGATGAGTTCTGGGGGAGGGATGAACAGGCAATGACTGCAAAATAATATGGGGCTTTATTTGGAGCTGATGAAAATGTTATGAAAGTAGATCATAGCGATCATTGCACAACCTTGTGGAAATGCTGAAAACCACTGAGCTATATGCTTTAAAATAGTGAGTTTATGTCTTAACTTTAACAATTGATTGCATTCTGTTTAATTGACCCTTCCCTCCATTTAACATAGGTTGTCTTACTTTAAAATGTTCCATTTCCTGTTAGTCAAGAAAACAAAAATATCTTAAAGGGAAAATAAATTTATCAATGACCAGAAATGGAATTTGAAAGACTGCCTATACTCATTTAATAAAGTTTACAAAAAGCTATAATATTAAGAACCCTATTTTAATGTTTCTTTTTCTTTCCATTATGCAGAGAGTCTAAAAGAAAAATAGCACAAGACTTGGCCTCCCTTGAACACACATCATCAGTGGAAAGGAAGAACACATTGTCTCTGGATTTCTGGAAGATCAGGATTCATTAAAGAAGGCAATGCCTGCTTGCCCCTGCCTCCTCCCAGCCCAGCCCTGCAGGTTCATACCTGTCTGGCCAGCGATGACCATGGGCTGCACAGACAGCTGGAAGAGCTTGTCCAGCACCAGGTGCAGGAAGAGCACGAGCGGCTCCAGGCGGGAGGAGTTCAGGCAGATGATGCTGAGCTTCAGCTCGTGCTCCAGTGCCGTCTCGCTGATCTTCTGATCCAGCACGCGGATGGGGAAGGTCACCTGGCTCTCCAGGGAGTGGCAGAGGGTGAAGAACTTCTCCAGGTGGTTGTCCTGGGAGGGCGGAAGGCAGGGCTCATGGGGTTTTATCCCATCAATGTTCACCAGTGGACTCATAAACACAACTGAATAGCTCTTTATGGGTAGCACCTCTTACCCAGGTTTCAAAGCAGAAGTCCTAAGATATGATGTTTTAGAGTGAGGTTATGAACTTCTTTGTAGAATGAGGTGCACAAGGTTGGACCTTTCAATAATGATTAGCTAAAGAAAAAATAATTTAGGCTCTGACATGTTCTGTAAGCAGGTCAGCATACCAGGTAAGTATGCAGAACTCAGACAGTGGCAGGCAACGGAGGGAGAATGGAATTGCTTTTTAAAGGCTCGTAAAGTGGCAGAATTACAGAGGGAAAAGAGAGAACAGCAGATGAGAGTTTCAAATCAAGTCTCCCTGCAAAGTTTCTCAAGCAACAGTGCAGGTACTAGGTTCTTTCCTTTCTGTGCTCAGTGGTTTTGTAAGGTCTTTCTATTCCAATGACAAATGAAACCTAAACAGATTTGCATGTCCCCACAAAGAACTACAGGATTGTTTTTTACTTATCTGTAGACAAGGATTTTCATTGATTTTTTATCAGCCTGTCCTTCAAAGGCTCCTCTGCTGCACCTTTACCTTCATTATTAACCTTGACTTTTCTTACCTGGGTATGCACAGAAGAAACAGCTTGCACTTCTATATTAAATACTCCCTTATGTCCTTCAGCCCACTTAATGGGAGGATTCTGTAAGGGGACTTTCTGTGTTAAAGAAAAGAAAAACATTAGCAATCTAATTCCCTTTTCTGATTACTAACAAGCAATGCAGAGCAACTTGACTGGGAATGTCAGGGTTATACCAAACTGTCTCAAAAACTAACATAACTGGTCTTGAAGTCAGAAGCCTAGGATTGAAGTTCAATTCTACACAAAACTAGTTATTATTCATTCATTCATTCATTCATTTTGAGACAGGGTCTCACTCTGCCACCTGGCTGAAGTACAGAGGTGCAATCACAGCTCACTGCAGCCTCGACCTCCTGCTCAAATGATCCTCCCATCTAAGCCTCTGGAGTAGCTGGGACTACCGGCACACACCACCACTCCTGGCTAATTTTTCTGTTTTTTTGTAGAAATGGGGTTTCACCATGTTGCTCAGGCTGGTCTCAAGCTCCTGGGCTCAAGTGATCCACCTGCCTCAGCCTCCCAAAATGTTGGGACTACAGGCGTGAGCCCTTCTGGGCCTTAGTGTTCTGTTCTCATACTACAAGGAGGGGTTGAACTGTGTGATCTGCCTCTAAGTTCCAAACCAGCATGCTAATTCTGGATTCTAGGAATTGAAATAAACTAAGATCCCAGCAATTTCCCCATGCATCAGGACTGTCAGGACAAAGTATAGAATAGCTTTATAAGACATGAAATTTTAATACTTTTGAGTACCCGACATTACTTCCCCTTTTAACAAAATTGTTCCAAGTGTTTCCAACATGTTTCTAGGCCTGCTTGGCTCCTGCTCTAATTACTCAAAGTGACTGTTTTATACTGTTTACATATCAATACCTTTGTAGGCCTTAGAGACAGCTCCTTGCCTTAAATTCCCATCGCAATTGCATTCCTTTAAAGATGCCCTGCAGTGCTGAGTGAGGAGGGCCTCGCCTAGGTTTGCCTGTCTTTCAGTGCAATGAAAAGTAGGTGTGTACAAGGGCTGGAAACATTTAAAGCTATCTGAAGCCGGCACAAGCTGGGGCCCAAAGTAAGTTCTAGCCCACAACCGAGTTCTCTTTGAAGTATTAAGAACTTTTAAAAATTAGTTGAAAGCCTGAAATATTTGAAAGCCAATATTTGAAAGCCTGAAAATTTCCTATAAAAGACTGCTTTTCTAACTTCATTTGAGTACTGGAAGATATGAAGAAATTGGCCTTAGATCCTAGCATGGCACCCATCTGCAGAGTGAAGGAACAGCTGTGATCTTTAGATGGGGCAGAGACAATCTCCAGAATGAACAGATGCCACCAGAATGAGGCATTCATTGATGTTACTCATCAGGATCCTGTGGGCACTTCAGTTTGCTATCTGTGATCTAAAATCGCACTGTTCAGTGGAAATATAATGTGAGCTATTTATGTAATTTAAAGTCATCTAGGCCGGGTGCCATGGCTCACGCCTGTAGTCCTAACACTTTGGGAGGCTGAGGCGGGTCGATCATGAGGTCAGGAATTCAAGACCAGCCTGGCCAATATGGTGAAACCCTATCTCTACTAAAAATACAAAACTTAGCTGGGCATGGTGGCGTGCACCTGTAGTCCCAGCTGCTTGGAAGGCTGAGGCAGCAGGATCACTTGAACCCGGGAGGTGGAGGTTGCAGTAAGCCGAGATGGCGCCACTGAACTCCAGCCTGGGCAACCGAGACTCTGTCTCAAAAAAAAAAAAAAAAAATCATCTAGTAGCCACATTTAAATAGTCAAAAGGGACTAGGCATGGTGGCTTACACCTATAATTCCAGCACTTTGGGGAGTCCCAGGCGGGAGGATCACATGAGACCAGGAGTTTGAGACCAGCATGAGCAGCATAGCAAGACCCTGTCTCTACTGTAAAAAAAAAAAAAAAAAAATTAGCCAGGCGTGGTGGTGCTCGCTTGTAGTCCCAGCTACTAAGGAGAGAAGGAGGCTGAGGTAAGAGGATTGCTTGAGCCTATGAGTTCAAGATTCAGTGAGCTGTGATCACACCACTACACTCCAGCCTGAGTGACAGAGTGAGAGCCTATCTCAAAAAAAAGGAACATGTGAAAGTAATTATATTTCATTTAACTAATATAGCCTAAAGATTGTTTCAATAGGTAATCAATGTAAAAAATTACTAGTACAACATTTCACGTTTTTTCCCTACTAAGTTTTTGAAATCTGGTGCATATTTTACTTATGGCACATCTCCGTTTGAACTAGCCATATTTCAAGTTCTCAATAGCCACACGTAGCTAGTAGCTATCTTATCAGACAGTGAAGGTTTAAAGGACACTAGGAGAGGCTAAGGGTATATCTATAAACACAGCACAGGGCAAGTAAGAAAAAGGAACTAATGTTTACTTAGGAATTGAATTTGTTGTTTGGCACGCATTACCTCACTTAACGCTTACAGCACCGTTATAGGCAGATATGGGCTCAGTTTCATCTTTGAGACTTAGGGTAAGCAACTCACCATGTTCACACAGCTAGGGAGTGGCAGAATCTAGATGCAGGTTTGTCTGTCTCCAACACTCAGGTCTTTCCTACAGCTTAAGAAGATAACTGGGAGTTCTAACAAATTAGAGTGTGCCACGTGATGATGAGGTGGTTTTGAGGGCTACTGAAAGGTGTTGATGTTGAAATCAGAAAGACCAATCAGGAAATGTCTGCGGACATACTCGGATTGCCCCTTAGATGGCTCTGAGGAGACAAGTGTTGGTCCACCAGGCATGTGCCTGGGGCCCAGGGCAGAAGATGTTTCTCTCTCCAGGGAAAATGCAAAATAAGAGGAAAACAGCCCCAAGTGAGGTGGTGGATGGTGAAAGAACAGAGAAGAAAGTTGACTTTGGATTCCAAGTTTAACAAGCAAGCACTGAAAATCTATCGTTAGTGGGATAATTGAAAATTTGATCAGTGACTGAATATTTAATGATACTAAGAAATTACAGTTAATTTTGAAGTATGACAATGGTATTGTGATAGTTAAAAACAAAGCCTTTATCTTTAAATTTGCAGACTAACATGAAATACGATGTCAGAGATTTACTTCCAAATAATACTTATTGATGTAAACCTACGCAAGGAACTGAGAAGTGTGACAGCAGTGTGACAGCTGGTGCAGTCAGGATGGACAGTCCCCTGCTCTGTTGCCCAGGCTGCAGTGCAGTGGTGTGATCTCAGCTCACCGCAACCTCCACTTCCTGGATTAAAGCAATTCTGCCTCAGCCTCCCGAGTAGCTGGGACTACAGGCACCTACCACCATGCCCAGCCAAATCTTTTTGTATTTTAGCAGAGATGGAGTTTCACCATGTTGGCCAGGCTGGTCTTGAACTCCTGACCTAAAGTGATCATCCCACCTCGGCCTCCCAAAGTGCTGGGATTACAGGCACCCAGCACCAGGCCTGGCTAATTTTTGTATTTTTAGTAGAGATGGGGTTTCACCACGTTGACCAGGCTGGTCTTGAAATCTTAACATCAGGTGATCCGCCCAGGGCTTCCTTTAAGTGCGTGCACTGCGGCTGAGTGGATGGGCGAGAGGAAGTGCCAGAAACAGGAAGTGGGAAAGGCTATTGGCATTGGGATTGTTAGGGGAATAAATACCTTGGTATCCACCTGAGGGCTGTGACAACTGACCCAACAAAGAAACAGCTAGAATCTGGCCTGGGAACCTTTTCTAAGGATTCTTGATGGGCGCAATTGTTTATTACAATTGGCCTCAGTTTGCTTCCTCTTCTATAATACATTATTCTGGGAATCCCTCTGTGATAGACAATGCAAGGTAATGCTGCCTTGGATGTAGGTTGCATCTACTAAACATTCTGATTTGGTGGCATTTAAAAGAATGAGGTTTCATAGTCAATTATTCCTCCCATCCTATCAGAACAATGCACTGTCTGAAAACACGGTGTGCTCCAGAGAACATGATGAGCACGTCTGGTCACATAGGAATGAGAAGTGGTTCTGGGAAGGTGGTCCAAGACCACAGCTGGAAGAGAAACAGCTGACAGCCAGCTTGGCAATTACCTCAGCAGAATGCATGGAGTAGTTGGGTGGCAATTTTTCCAAGGCAACTGGGAGACAGTATGATCCAGTTTGAAGACGTTCATTTAAGAGAATTGGCAGCCACTGAAACAGATGATGTAAATAATAAAGTGGTATTTATTACAGCATATAATTCTGGCAATTTATCTAGCTCACAATAATCAAATGCAACTAAACAATGATTAGATATTGACCAGGACTCTTTTTGGCAGTAATTTCTGTCCAGTTCTTTGCATTAAATCCCCGAGAGCTCCTGGGATGGTAGTATTGATGATTTACTGCTTTCAGAGCCAAAGCAGTAGCATTTTTCTCCATAGCCAACGTTTGTGTGTGTCGGAACATCAATGTTGATTTTACCTTTTATATTTTTTAAGGAAATAATTGTTTCTTCTTGGAGGACAGAGCTAGTTCTATATGTGAAGTGAGGATATTACATTTGGAAATAGTGAACACTGCAATGCTTTTTAAAAAACAAATGAGTATTCTTTCAATATCTATCACCCACTAGCTTTCCATTTCTGAAATCTGACATTTGCTAAGGCAAATCACTTCTGCCTCCTGCTATAATTTGGCTTAGCATGTTTTGCTACTTCTGACAGGAAAAAAGTGAATAGAATTTGGTTGTTTATCTCTGCAGGGACCTCAGATATACTAACGACTGCAGTGTGAGTCAGCCGGCTGGAAACAACTCACTGAATATCCCAGGAGAGTTTCCACGGAGCCTCCTTGCTTCTGCTGACAGCTGATATGGTAGAAGGTGAACAGGAGGTGGTGATTTACTGTGAGCTTAGCAGGGAGCTTAATTTTCACTTCTTCATAAAAGTCAGGAGACCTGTTTCAAAAGCACATTATACACAAATAACTTTTAGCAAGAATGATGACTTCTCTGATTATAAGACGCCACAGCCCCTTTGGCCCTCAGAACTTGCCTGGGTCTTTGCTTCTCATTTTACATTACTCTGCTCTGCTGCTGGAAGTCCCGGAGACCACGCTTATGTTATTAGATACATTTCCCTTACACAAAACTGTTCATGAACTAAAGGCTTTGTCAGGAAAACAAAAAACAAAAAACACCTCCCCCACACAATGGAAAACCCCAAAAACTTAATTTGAAGAAAGGGTAAGATTTGGAATCCTGCTGTGACCTCCTTTTCCATCTCTACCCAAGGAAGAGAGTCTCGCACCTGGCTGCACTCACCAAAGAGTAGAAGCAAATGAATGATGCAGGAAGGAAGAGGAACCCGATTTTACTGAATTGTGAAGCCCTAGATGCTTCATGAATTACAAGGGTTTCATGTACATGACCTCACTTAATCCTCATCCCAAGCCCAGAATGTGCTTAAATGGAGGATTTAAATAAATAGGCCCAGGTGATCAGGCCAGGATCAAACCCAGTTCTGTCTGACATTGTGCTGATGTCCCTCCTTCCCTGTGGAACATGAATAACAGCACAGGCATTATCCTGTCACTCCATTTACCGGTGGGATAATGAGTGTTCCATTTCTCCTTTGGTCAGCCTAGCCAGGCAGTGGGCCAGGTGTCCAGTGGAGCAGACAGGGACACAGGGCAAGGAGAGCTGGATTGTACTTCTGGCCTCCTTCAGTGTCTCAAACCAAGTTAGAAAATGTGTTTTCTTAATTAACGTAATACAACCTCTTTGCATCATACTAGAATAGAAGCCTCCAGAAAAGTCAAAACTATACTGGATTCTTGAAGACATGTTCTTCTTTCAGTCTCGGTTAATGGCAAAGTTATATACATCTTCAACACAGAGTCATGGAAGTGGCATGGATTTCCTTGACCCCTGAGTCTCTGAATTATAAAAATAGTTGAGAGGAATCACCCAGGGGACTCGGAAAAACCAGGAGATAATGAAACCATCTTGGTGTATATTTAGAATGCTGAAATAGACTTACTTATTATGGTATGTAATGGCTGTGTATACTTCCTGCAGAAATTCAGGCCCGCTGGACTTTCCAAAGATAACCTGTTTACCAGTATGGAAAGGATCAAATTATCAGTAACATTTGGGTACATCAAATTGACTATTATCAGGCCAACAGGATGTTCTGGTCTCATAGAGCTGCATTTTGTATAATTAAGACTGCTGGGTTGGCCGGGAGCGGTGGCTCATGCCTGTAATCTCAGAACTCTGAGAGGTCGAGGTGGGCAAATGGTTTGAGCCCAGGAGTTGGAGACCAGTCTGGGCAACATGGTGAAACCTCCTCTTTACAAAAAATACAAAAATTAGCCAGGCACGGTGGCACATGTGTATAGTCCCTGCTACTTGGAGGGCTGAGGCAGGAGAATTGCTTGAGCCTAGGAGGCACAGGTTGCAGTGAGCCGAGATAGCACCATTGTACTCCAGCCTGGGCAACAGACCCTGTCTCAGTAAGAAAAAAAAAAGGCCAGGGGCAGTGGCTCACGTCTGTAATCCCAGCATTTTGGGAGGCCATGGCAGGTGGATCATGAGATCAGGAGTTCAAGTCCAGTGTGGCCAAGATGGTAAAACCCTGCCTCTACTAAAACTACAAAAATTAGCCAGGTGTGGTGGCAGGTGCCTGTAATCCCAGCTACTTGGGAGGCTGAGGCAGAGAATTGCTTGAACCTGAGAGGTGGTGGTTGCAGTGAGCTGAGATCATGCCACTACACTCCAGCCTGGCGACAGAGTAAGACTCTGTCTC